GTAAACAGCCTTGTGGCCACCTCACTTTGTTCTTACAATAGTGTAGCACAACGAAAACAAGAAGGGGAAGCGGACCCAAAGACCACATGGTTAGAGATCTTTTTGGGGTGGGGTGGTTGCAACGCTTAACTATATTACCTACAAGACTGGTTTTAAAGAAGGAAAAAACCTTTCAAGAAGAGACTGAAAAAACTTTCCAGGGAAAAGTACATGTGTGCTTCATGTAGGTGTCACACGCCACATCACTGCAAAGTGAAAACAAAGCACCAGATTGCCTTGTTTTTCCCATCATAAGAGTCTGTGCTGCTCACTTCATAGCCGTGTGTGCATTCACACATAGCTGGTGTTGAACTAGATTCACTTCATGGAATCCTGAAAACCCATGCTCTTGTTTTGAGCTTACATTTGAATACCCTCACGTCCACCCATGAACGCAGCTCTCTCATCTGAAGCCATCCAGGCCGATTGTGCATCCTTCAACCTCTGCTTGCTGTCACCCTCAGTGTGTTCCTTGAGGTACCGTCGGACCTGAAAGCATGCATGCAATAAAATGTTTCAAAGAACTGGATAGTCAAGCCTTCTGAAATACATATGCATACTGTTCATGTGTATTTTCAAACACATATACAGAAAAACTATAGGCCCTACATACTGTTCATGTGTATTTTCAAATACATATACAGAAAAACTATAGGCCCTACTTCCCAACATGTCCACCAAAACAATTTGTGTTGTGGTTGAAAAGAATCACCAAAATTATGTTGATTTGAACAAGTGACAAACTCCCAGCGAGCATTGTGTGCGGAACTGAATTTCTTATCCTTCTTGTGGTCTGATGGGTTGGATGATGATGCCTCAGGGTTGGAAGATGCTCCTGCTTGCTCACCACCACCCGCAGAACCACGTGGCACCTTTTGCTGCAGTGATATCCCACTCAAAAATGAGATAGATATCAATCAAAAATTTGAAAGCGACAATCCATTCCAAAAGAATGCATAGGACATAGGATGAACTCCAAGGGTCAAGACAATAAGTTGTAAGATAGTGCCATTAAACAGGCAATAAAACAAAGCCAGGGCACTCCTTTCGATTGGAAAGTCTTGTGCCACTGACGAGAGTTTTCCCGTTTGCGTTCCATCCTCTCATCCATGGTCTTCTTCTTTGTGTTGGGAGTCATTTCTTCGAGGCGAACTCGTTTGGCTGGTTTTGCCAAGTCAGCATCATCACCCTCCTTGCAGGAGGGAACAAAACCCAGCAAGACAGGCTTTAAGAGGTTCGGTAATACATATATACATGTTTGGACTTGTCCCTTTAAATCTTGGATGGGGAAAAACATACAATGTCTTTGTCCTTCTCTGCAGCTTGTTCACCACTTGAAAGCGGCTGTCGAAGACGACGCTTGGTCAACACCTTGTCTGAGGTTGCACCCTGACTCTCCTGAAGGGTCCCCCAAAATGAACATTGATTTCACAGTTGTTCAAATGATTGCAAAACTTCTCATTTGTTGAGAGCAAACTCAAGAGTTGCTGAAACCCAGGCAATTGAAACATGTCATTGGTTTAAAAGCAAAGCCATGAATTGGTCAAACCAAAATTGTTTCAAAGCAACACGCCTCCATAAGCGCATCAGATTGAGAAGCATGCACTTCTGCTCCATTGGACACTGACTCTGGCATAGAAGAGCCAGCATGGGGCACTCGCTCCTCAACTGATTTCTTGTTGGCATTTCTGGAAATAAACCATGCTTGGAAAACCACATAATGTCAAAGATTTCTCTGGGGTGTGCATGCAAAAGTCTTCTGTGGGAACTTCTTCAGGTGAAGAGATGTAGCCATCAAAAAAACCACAGACTCCATTCCATGGTTGTTGCCTGCGTTTTTTGGCTTCTTGAAATTTGACTGGATCGAACACAAACTTGGAGATGACTGTTGGCTCCTTTGACAGCGATGGTGATGCCAGTGTCACTTCATGTAGGGAGATTTTCTTGTCCTCAGAAATCTTCTTGTCCTCTTCATCAAGAAGGGAAGTCTTCTTGTCCTGGGCTTGGGCTTCTGAGCTGTTCTCACCCTCGGGTTGGACCTGATCAAGAAGGGAGATCTTTCCATCACCAAGGGAAGTCTGGGCGTACCCGTCCCAATCTTCGGATATTTGGCTGTCGAACTGGTTCTCAAATTGGGACTTGAACCGTTCATCATCATCGCTCGTCCATTCCTTCTCAAAGAAAGGGTAGAGCTGTTTGGCTTCCACAGGTTCCATCACATCACTGGTAGATGAAGTTCTTGAGCGTAGAAACAACGGCCGGGCTACTTCTCCAACGGGTGCTTCCTTAGGTAGGTTCTATAGGCAGTGTGGGAAACATGGATGTATACACAAAGAACACACACAAGACAACAGTAAACAAATTGAAAGCAAGACAAAAAACAACAAACAACAAGTTGGTTGGGCAAATGCATTGTTGCAGGGACAGGTTTAGCTCGAAGCATGTACTTACTCAAGTCTGCACTTGGCGCGAAAGGCACAGCTTGAAGAACACTGCTGTGAACCTTGAAGTCCTTGGTGCCCTGTGTCGACCCGGCACCTGAAGTGGTGTCAACTCCTCCTGCCAATGATTCAAAGAACCCACCTGTGCCTGACACGCTGCCCACACTGTTCTCCAAGTGTTTTCCCAACAACCTGGAATCCACAGAGTGTGAATTAACCTCCAGGTCCACAACTTCCGACATGGAAAGGAGACAAAGGAGCAATTGACTCAGCAAGTGGCAACTAAAGAGAGCTTGATTACAAAAATCCCAAGACTGTTTGCTCCAAAGCCAACTGGGGCAATCAAGTCAACCTCAAACCTTACCATAGACGGACGTTCTCAGTTCACAAGTTAAAATCAACTTCAAGCTCAAACCATCAAACTGAGACTCTCATGTTATTTTTCTTCTCTTCCTACTATCTGATAAGATAGGTCCCCGGATTCCCCGGATGGCATGACTTTGCCAGACAAATGAATCAAAATGATGGCATGAGATTGCCATCCAACAAAACACCGACGCGTCAGCTCTGCAAGAGCTCAGGCGATCTGATAGAGGAGCCCTGCCTCCATCATGAACCCAGCATTCCGAACAAACCAAAGTGGTTTTGCTGGTCCCAAAACCTTCTCTTTGCTGTAGTGGCGCATTCCTGGTTTGATCAAAATACAGTTTCGTTCCTGTTTAGTGTTTGCCCAAACAAAAGAAGTGAACATCTAAAACAACACAGGGGGAATGCAAAGGCATTTTGTATGTCAACAGGCTGCTCCAAACCAGCTTCAAAAACCGAGAGGAGCTGAGCACTTTGAAGCCGACAAATCCAGCAATGTTGCTGCCTTTCACATTCTTGACCGTCACCGGATTGGGCTTGAAGACCAGGTAGCTCTGGTGTGAAACCTCCAAGGTGTCAGGTTCATCCCCTCTTTTGACAGCTGCTGGTCGCTCGACAGAATGCCCACTCACCTTCAGGTCTATCATCCCTCGTTTCTCCATCATGACCATGGCTTCATGCAGGGTCATAGGAGCGGAATCCTGAGCACCTGAAGACCCCTGCTCTTCCATGATCACCTCACTTATGTTTTTCCAGCTATATGGGTATGAAAGGGTAACAACAACATTTGGTATAGAAAACATGATACCAAACACAAGCCTTGTCACCTTGTCAGATGGTCCTTCCAAACGGAACTCAACCGCCTTTGCCTCGTTCTGCGGCTTGGAAAGAAAATCCTTTGCCTGTCAGAGGCCAACAACAGTTGATGTGTGCAAACACTTTGAAAGCACCACATGTTTTTTGTCACAAACTTGTCCTTGCTGCTGTCGCTCAGCCATTGCCCTCCAGCATACGCAAACACAGGCTTGGCATTGCTTGAAGCGATTCCCGGCAGCCGGCCTTTCTGTGAAGATCCCAAAAACACCTTGTCGTTGACAAAGTGACAAGTGAGTTGTTGACCTCCCAGGTTGATGGTCACTGTAGCGGATGTGTTTGGGTAGTCCTTCGTAAATTGCTCATGGCTGATGGATGGTGGTGTCTCACAATCTCCCTCCGCTTGAGTCTCAGTAGCAGGTGTTGTTGCGTCTTTCGTTGACAAGTCAATCGCTTCCTGGGACTTTGTGACCTTCGGGGGGATCGTAGATGCTGCAGAAGCCTGGTCAAAGACCTTGTCAAAGTTCTTCAGGCGTGTTCTCCAATCAGCATCTTAGATCTTTTGAAATTGAACACGCAACTAAAACAAAAACTAGAAATTATGTAATTATTGAAGCCAACTTGAAGCTTCGTGCTTCATGTTTTCTGTGATTGTCAATGACCTTTGAACACAGAAGGACAACCTTCTTGATTTGTTGAGTCACTCCGAACTGGGTCTTGCAGCCAGCGGTCTCGGATATCTCTGGGAATCTCCAAGAAGCCTGACTCTTGCATGGTGCACATTTTCAGCACAGGTCGCTTTGGAGCCTGAAGTTCACCCACATCAGCATCCTTCACGAACTTGGGTTGCACATTGCCCATTAGCCCTCGTCCTGCTTTCCATTCCTGTCAGGGTGTGTTTTTGGTTGATATACTACCAGCATGTTCAAAACATTCTGTCCTCCAAGAGCTTGTCTTTGACCTCAGTGAGCGCGTGCTTAAAGATCAGCGGGTTGGAGCATTGGCTGTGCACTGCCAACAGTGTTTCGTCGGCAAGGTCGACCATCATGTCCACAGCCACCTCTTCAAAACCAAAAATGTTATTATTCTTTAAAACTTAGGGGCACACATTTTTGACACCAAAGAAAAAGTATGCTGCTTGCCCAAGCCTTGCCTTCTCAAGCACTCCATCGTAAGCCATGTAGTTGTGTACGATGCAAGTCTCACGCTTCATGCTCGAAACTCTTGAAAGAGCAGCTTCCAGCATTGCTTGCAGCGTTGCAGGACTTGACACCCATTGTGCTGTCTCTTCCTTGTCCTGAAACACACTAATTTGTTGTGGTCCTTGTTTTCATGTGTGTGTGGAACCCACCGACAACAAAACTAAACATACAGTATTTCTTTGTAGTTGACAGAAGAGGGTCAGTGAGGCTTCTTCCATGTTCATGAGTGAAGAAGGTGCCACTCTCAGGTGTCACATAGTCACCTGTGTTGTTGCTGGGTCAGTTTCAATCTAATCACAAACATCCATCCATCCAACCAAACCACCTAACCACAAAAAGAAAGAAAACAAGAAACAAACACACACAGAAACAACAATACTTATCAACGAATAATAGACAGGTTGCTGGGACTCAAAGGCACCGAAGCTTTGCATCCAGCCAGGGCCCAAAAGTCATTCCGGCAAAAAACGTTCGAGTCTTGCAGGCTTCTCTCAGACCCTCTGGGAGCTTTGTAGAGGGTAGCTTGGCGAGCCCCCAAGGTGCTATCCAAAACGATCATCCAAGCTGGTAGACTCTTTGGGAATGTCCTGCAGGTTTGTCGCTCCCGAGTATGGTTTGTTTGGAATGCATATAAGTACTAAATATATATATATACCAGAGACAGATACATGGCCACATATACACAGAACCATGCTGGCCCATATCATGTTTAAATGCAACGTATGTCCTGTCTATGTGCATATTTATATGTTTTTGTTTTGTGTACTTGTATTGTTTACCTTCTATCTGCCTAAAATTTGTAGACACTCTGAAACACATCTATCATATAGTCATGTGTCAAGTTTGAAGGATTTGTTTGAGCACCATTGAGAACTTGTGTTTCAACCTGTCCGATTGCCATGTAAGCTGCTGACGTCGAACTGCAGCTGTACCGTCTTGAGTTCCATTCCCATATCTACAAACTTGTCTTCGATGCGTCTGTACTCGCCCCGCAGACCACCGAGCACTCCATCAGAAGCCAACAGAGGACATACAGCCAGAATCATACCTTTCAAGACTTATTGATGACTCATATAGGCTCATTGGGTTTGCACAGTATTCATCCAATCAATTTGAATAAGTCTAATCAGGTCAAAAGTTGCTGTATTCATCGTTCAGGTTCAGGATCATTTTGCACCACTCTGCTGCCTCCTTGATCTCAACCATTGACACTCGTCCTAGCTTGCTAAAGTCAAGCATCCCGACATGGTGCATCTTGGATGGGTCAGCGGCGCCAAAACGAGTGGACGCTTCTGACAGCACTCGTCGCTGCAGGGTGGCAAGGGTTTGTGGAGCTCCTTTGTCCACACACACCATGAGACAACGTTTCTCCATCACCTTCTCCACAGCTTGGATTCCAATTTCCAGCTGCTCTCGCATGTGTACCACCTCAAAGTTGTCGTATTAGGTATTGTCTCTTTTCTACTTTGAGAATAACCAAGCCAATGAATAAATGAACAAATGAATGAATGATTGATGAATGAGTGAGCTAGTGAATGAATTCATGAATACATACATACCAATAAGCAAACCCCTTTTGGGGTAGATGGAAAGACACATCATCAGACAGATTATCCTCCCACAATCCTTTGTGTGCTTTCATAGCATTGATTTTACAGGATATCCTTTAAATGAATGTGATAAACTCAGAGTCACTCCATCCAAGCAAAAGAACATTATACAAAGAGTGATCAGCCAAAAAGCTTGCGCGACATGTCGGCTTCCGTCCACCTGCAAGGAATGTGTCTTTTTTGATTTAGGAGAAACATATATTTGTTCAACCCACTCCTTGGATCTTCTGAGATTGAAGTTGACCGCTTCCTTGTAATCGTGTGCAAGATTTGCACATGCAACTCCATACTCAGCTGTTCGCAAGGCCTCCTGATGAAGTGAATGATTTCAGGGCTGGGGCCAAAGTGTGTTAGGTTTAAACATGGTTGTCCAAACATTTGCCCAAACAATATCCTCAGCATCTTCAACTTCTGTAGGATCATCTGCACCGAGAGAAGTGAGCCCAGCACCTTTAGCCACAGGCTTGATGACATGGTCCTGAACCATTGCGAGCATGTCTGGAACCAAACGGGTTGGCTTCGTCAGAAGCACAGAGTCAAGGTCCTGGCTGTAGTCCCTTAGATGTTGTAATCTACCAGAGCTTGGAAGGTCAAACAAAAATAAACCTAACATAAAACAACCAAAACAAAACATCCCAACCTCACAATTCAAAGTGTCCCTGCCAGAAATCCATCAATCATGTTCGACAACATGGCATCTGTGACCTTCAGGGTATGTATGTAGTCTGTGGTATGACTTGGCACATCAATCAAACAATGCAAACAAATCCTGAAACAAATTTGTTAACAAACATGTTCAACATTGTCAAGTTGACGCCTTCGGATTCTTCCGGCATTCATCCACAGCCCACGAGGCCAGGCAGGCCTGGTCCACTGATCTGTTCCACACTTCCTCAGTCCACCTGAGCCGGGCTCTCATAGTCTTCTTGACCTTCTTGTAGTTCAAGTGCCACCACTGATTGTATCGCTTGAAATGCAGCAGCTGGGCCTGCTCGGTCACCTGAAGCAGAAAAGAAGGTAGAGAGATTTAAGAAACTTGGGACTACTGTATATTTTTGCTTGCAAAAGTTTTCAACACTAAGACTCAGAGTTTAAGCGAACAAAGAAAACAACAACTAATTCAAAGTGGCAGTCAGCCGATCAGCCCATGCTGCAGGCATCCCTCTGGGCGTCTCGTTAAGTTGATGTCGTTTGGCACGTAGCAAGCCCTCGTTGTAGCCTGACAGTTGTTCTTTGCTTTGTGGTTCAACACCTGTTTGACAAAGGCTAGATGAAGTGTGCCAGGGGTCAGATACATCTGGTATAAACACCAAAAAGAAAGCAACAAGAGACAAAGAACCGCTTTCGTCATACTTGTTGAAGTCCAAATGCTGACGCACCAGTGCTCTAGTTTCTGCAGTGAGCCCTCTGATGATTGCAAATATTGCGGACTGCATGTCACTGTTGATCTGCCACTTCTTCACTGCAGACACTGCTCGGTAGCTGTTGTAACGGCTGATGATGGATGCTAAAAGCTCCTCATCGTTCTGGTCTCGGCAGGACTCCAACTTCCTCCTTTCTGCCAGCATGATCTCGAATCGCATCGCCGTTTTCATAATCTGAGATGGGTCAACACATGTTACCTTTTCAACAAGACTGCAGTAGAAACAATCTACAAACATCTATAAACAATATCTATATATTATCACCAAGTTTTGACAGGTAACGTCTTTCTTTTGGCGTTCAGCACCCATGGCACTGAGTTGCATATTGTCAAAACTGACAGTCTCAGCATCATTGCATGCACTGATTGTCGATGGGATATGGAACATCTCCGAAAATGCCGGCAGCAAGGGCATCACCAATTCCTGCACTTAAGAAGCAAAGCCAAGCACCAAGCACTAAGAGTAACGGCTGTCCTTCCCAGCGATGGGGTCCAGGTCAGCAGCGATCATGAGAAGCAACAACGGGGCTGTCCTTTGAGCTTTGAACATGGAGTGAAGCAAACTTTTGGCAAATGAGTGAGCACACAAACCCAGAGCATTAACATCAAACCTTGTTGGTAATGTCAAACAGGTTTCAGTCGCGTAAATCCCTTCTTGATACTGAACTTATCATCTTTTGCTGCATCGATCGTCAAGTCGATGGGCTCCCTGTATAGCCTTGAACCGTTGAAGATGAAGCTGATGGTGGTTGTCACAAAGTCTTGGATAGACGGGAAACCATCTGGAGGAGTCTCCAGCTTGATTGCTGACAGTGGAACATAGGCGATCAGGCTGTTCTCATTCAATGAAGAGATATCCTTACAGGGTCTTGGTTCTTGATCATTTGGTTGATACTATGTTTTATGTATGTTTGTTCTAACAATACATTGTCTTAAATAATACTATTCTTGTGGTAAATAATGTATGGGGAAAGCGTTCCATGTTCTTCCACCTAGATGCCGGCTTCGGGGATTCCTCGAAAGTGCGTCCGGTGACCTTGTGTACTTCTTCCAGGAACGTGTGTAGCCGGCTGAGTGTATGTTCAGCATCCTCTGGGGTCTTGAACTGCTCCATCACCATAGACACGGGATGGACACATCCATGGCCAGAAGGCATCTGATCTGCCATTTCCCCGAACTGCCCCAAGTAGTTCAAGATATCCTCATTTCTGCAAACCACAATTGTACTAAAGACCAAAAAGTCAACGGAAGTCACAAAAAAGCTTTTGTGTGGTGGTAAACTCAGAAAAGGATGCATCAAAGGAACCAACAACTAGTGACCCTCAGGTTTGAGCAGAGTGGCTTGGGTCAGAGAGACATCTCCTGGGAGCTTGGACAAAGCTGCCTGGTACTCTGTCTTGCGTTTCTTCTGAGCAGGATCCTGGGCTGTCTTGGGTTGTCCATCTTCTTGGACAACACAAATGCTTACACCAACCAAGATAACAACATAAACACATAAAATAAATACATCAAAGAAGCACTTGGGCTGGGTGTTCCCTCTTCCTTCTTGGCCATCTCCTTGATGGGTGTGCCTTCATCTTTCTTAGGCAGCAAGCTACTAGAGGCTTGCACCATGGATCGCAGCATCAAAGACTCCATCTTGCACTTTGGCGTTCAGCTGTGTTTGAAAAAAGGATAAAGAAACCAAAAGGAAACAAACCAAAGTTGTAATGCCACCACATGTTGAAAGCAATATAATAGTTATTCTTTCCTACTATATAATTGTGTTTTTTGTGAGCATATCCCTCTGGCTGAAGTAAGCCACCAAGTGAAGCAAAAACACCATCACTGGTGAGTGTTGGGGACAGAAAGATTGTTGTTGGAGTTGTTGACTAAAATATCATCGTGGGCGGGGGTTGTGGACAGAAAAATCGTCGTGGGTGGGGGTTGTGGACAGAAAAATCGTCGTGGGTGGGGGTTGTTGACAGAAAAGTCGTCGTGGGTGGGGGTTGTGGGCAGAAAAATCGTCGTGGATGGGGGTTGGGACCAACCAAAGTCATCGTGGGCGGGGGTTGGGACCAACCCAAATCGTCGCGGTTTTGCTCCCGGACCACAAGGAAATTCTATATACAAGTTTTGCATCATTTTGTGTCATACGTAATCACACCCACAAGGAAATTAGTGACGCTATCCTGTTATCAGAATCGTCGTTGCTGGGGCGCCGACCCACAAAGACTTTCCTCAAGGCTTATACACCCACAAGGAAAATGCAATTTTCAGAAAAGTGCGATTTCGGCGTGGGTCTATAAACGCTTACATAGATCGTCGTTGTTCGGCCCCCGACCCACAACGAAATGAGTGACGTTATCCTGTTATCAGAATCGTCGTGGGTGCTATCACTTTTGACACGCAGGTAGGTCTATCTTCATGTCCTCAAGCTGCCGCGTGCTTCACTGTCAAAACTGATCATTACGGCTTCTCAAGATAAGATCTCTCAGCCTTCTTCACCTCAGGTTGAAATAGCTCACACTCCATTTCCAGACTTTTTGTGAAATAGCTTGCATGCATTACCCAATTACCAAACTGACAACAAAGCTCTTCATGAGTTGTGTCAATTCAATTATTTTTTCAACTTCCAATTCTCAAGCTGAACCAACCCTTTAGGTTGGCCACCCTGAGGGTTCTCCAAACCCCTTTGAGGTTACCAGTGAGGCCCATACACACAAACACACACGTCATCACACGCCACTGTGACTTGCAAACAGACGTATACACATGGTTTCCATGGTTAACATAGAGAAAACACTTGGTGTGAAGTCACCTTGATCTCCAAACAAATATCACAATGCAATGGTTTAAATATATGAAGCGTTTAGTGCAAGTTCACCTTCCACGGCGCCACACTGCCCTTAGTGGTACACTAGGGCTCAAAACAGCCAACACACATGGGTGTGGTTCCATACGGACCTGAACCGCAACTTGCTCATTCACATGCTCCTCTAACCATGGAAGCGGATGTAGTGGATGAACCGGCAGGTTGTTTCCAGCTAGCCCTCGAAGATACGCTGCTGCTTGTCGTGTGTTCGCTGATCCACCCAAGAGGTTCTCAAACAAAGCAGCCAGTTCACGCCATCCACGGGTCACTGAATCCTTCAACGGCCTTGAAGCCATCAGACCTAAGTAGTTGGCTCCATAGGCTGCAGCCTAGATTGAAGTTCTGAGCTACTCTTACATGTTTAGTTAAGTGTCTCTGAGGTCTGGCGTATGTTTGTTCTGCATTTAGCTACCAGTTGGATTCCTTGTTGACTTGCTTGCCAACAGGCTCTTCTTTTAAACGTGTGGCACTATGCACTCCTTGAACGCCAAACTGAACCCATCTTACAAGAACAAATCTTTACAGGCACTTCAGTCATACATGATATTTGCTAGGCACAGATCTACAGGTTGATGATGGTTGATGGATTGATGGACGGCTAATGGATGATTGATGATCAATTTACAGAGTGATCACTCATGGAATGGACAAATGAGTTGATAGAAAGAGGTATGGATGGATAGATGGATAGATGAATGCATGAATGGACAAGACAAAGAGAGGTGTGAGGATACACCAACACATTGTAGGATTGGGTGTATGTGCACACAGGTGACCATATCATATCCTGCTGAGCAGTCCACCCAACCATCCATCCATCCATCCACCCTGTGTTTCATTCATAATCCATCCAAACACTACCCATTAATCCATGTCCATTTGTATAAACTTCCCTTGTCTCTCCCCTTCCCAATCCTCCCATCATCATTCCATCCATACATCTATATAGTGTACTTATTTGTGCAAACAACTTGCAGGTACTCTTGTGAAATTCCAAGACACGGTTGGTAGTCAAGGGAAAGGTCAAGCGGCTTTCGGCAGTCAGTGCTAAAAGTGGTCGCTGTCGCAATGTTTCGCTGCAAATGTATTCCTTCACCAGTACGAACACATCATCATCATTTTTTGCACGGTTCCTGTTGGTGCCTTCATCCATGTCCAGCTCAGGTGGGATGTCTGGCAGGGTTCCGAGTTCTAAGTTCAAGGAGCCCCACCTTTCCCAGTCCACTTTTTACCAATAGCCTCGAGCACTTAATGTTGAAACTCCTCTTGTAGCACAACCCCCCACACTGCACCTCTTCTCTTGAAAAACATGAAGAAATGGTTGGCCGTCTTGTCATGCAAGAGTCCGCCTTCCTGAATCAGATAGGTTGAGTGACATGCACACAAAGCCGTTTACAGTGTATATATTATACAGGAGAACTAAATCACCCAGCAACAAAGGTAAATAGATGCAATGTAAGACATAGCTCAAATCTGACTGGTGAGTGTTGAAGTGTATGACTCTTCCAGTCACGGTAGTTTCTCAAGACCTCCACAATCACTTCCCCGTTGATAAACGATGCCAAGCTGGGTTTCTTAAGTTCATCTTTGATCAAAGTGCAAGCTGAGTCCGCATCAAGCATTTGCACAGATCGCCCGAGCCGTCGTGATAGCAATCCCCACAGTTGATCTGGGCATCACTGCCAAATAAAGCTTCTTTCAGGAAGCCCCAGTGTGTGTTTTAGACATATCCACAAACAAAAAGGCACACAGGCTATTGAATTCATGACAAGAATCCTATCACATCGTGGGTGTGGCTGACTCTCAACATCAACACCGCTGCGAACCTCAGTGTCTGTTTGTAATGTACACTGTCCCACATTTAAAGGGCCCTGCCTGTGCAACATGTGCACATACGTGTGCTGGTATTTTCCCAGTCTGAAAACATAACTTATAATATATATATATATATCTAAATATACATATATGTACAGCCACCCATGTGTGTGTATTGTATGTAGGTGTATGGATGTAAGGATGTATGGATGTATGTTTGTATGTCTAGTCGATGTATTAATGTATGCATGTGTGTTTGTTTGTTTGTTTGTATCTGTCAGTCTGTTTGTTTGATTGCTTGGTGTTTGTTTGTGTGGTTGTTTTGTTTTTTGCCTATGTGTAACTGTATGTTTGTATGTATGCATGTCTTATGTAGTTATGCATGCAGCACGTAGGAAACAACTACCCAGTCGGAAAGCTGCTGTTTAATCAAAGAACCGCAGTTTCTGATGCAAAATCAGGCTTGCTGCAAGAGTCAAAAGGTAGGTGTTTTTCAGCTCTTG